GTTTTGGGTTTTAGGATTGATAGTTTAGGGTTTAGTGTTGATTTTTTAGGGTTTAGGGTTTACTTTTTAGGGTTTAGATTTTAGGGTTTAAGGTTTAGAATTGATATTTCAGGGTTTATGGTAGATTTTTAGGGTTTAGGGTTTACTTTTTAGGGTCTAGAGTTTAGAATTGATGTTTTAGGGTTTAGGGTTAATAATTTATTTAAGATTTATTTTATATATATATATAAAAAAAACAAAGATATATGAGTCTTTTATCATTTAATAAAATGTGTATTTTTGAAAATGTTCATTTGTTGATGGTAAATATGAAAAGTGGTACCACCAAAGTGGTATAATTGAAATTCTCCCTATAAAAAACTCATATAACTAACATCTTTAAAAACAAACACTGTATAAACCACATGAAGAGAATGGAATGAAAGTACAAAATAAATTAAATGGAAATATTTTTAAAAAATATACACTACTCTTATTTCAACTTCCTTATTGAAAATTGGTTAACCACATAAGACAAATAAGGCAATGAAGTTGTATTTACGTTAATCAAATAAAAAAAATGTTAGGTGGTTTTGTGGTAGGCAAAACTTTAGGATTGTTAAATCATTTGGGTTGGAAGGTACTACACTTTAACTTATGGTCACGTAGCGTAGATCTATTTTAAACAAAATGTTAAAATTTTATAAAAATAAAAAGGGGTTTTAGTAATAAAACCCTCCAATTAAAGATGTATCGTAAAAAAAATCCTCAACTAAAGATTAAATGAAATAAACTTTCAACTTTAGTTTGACATATGTTAACGAAACTAAAGTTGAGAATTTATTTCACTAAATTTTTAGTTGAGGGTTTTTGTTACGATCCATCTTTAGTTGAAGGGTTTTATTACTAAATATGGTTAAATATTTTAAAATCTTTGCTATAATTTATTTATTATTTAAGAATCTTACAATTGATTTATAAACATTTAAAATAATTTATATTTTTTATATATTACTTAATCAAATTTTTAACCTATTTATAAAGCTTAGTAAATATTTTAATATTTTTATAAATTATTAATAAGGTTTAACGAAGATTTTATAAACTTTTGTCTGCTATTTCTTAGGATGGAATAATACATGATTTTTCTTGATATTACGAAATAAAACGACAAAGCTTTACAAAGGAGAAAACACACACAATTTTCTTATATTAATACTGTCAAATATCAAATAATTAAGATTTCTAAATTAGATAAAGTTGTATGTAGTGTTGATGATATTTAAACCCTCAACTAAAGATTAATCGTAAAATAAACCCCCAACTAAAAATCTTGTGAAATAAACCCTCATCTTTATGTCCGTTAATGTTTTCGCCCCTCCGTAACTTTTGTCGTCAACTTTTGACGGAGAAACGTTAAATATTGACGAAAAGGTTACGGAGGGGCGAAAACATTAATGGACATAAAGAGGAGGGTTTATTTCACAGAATTTTTAGTTGAGGGTTTATTTCACAGAATTTTTAGTTGAGGGTTTGTTTTATGATATATCTTTAGTTGAGAGTTTAAATTACTAAAAATCCTTTTTTTAGAAAATCCTATGAGTATTGATTATTTAGTAATTTTATGACCAATTTTACTGTTAATAGGAAATCACTTTTCTTTGTCAGCGAGACCTTGAATGAGGGTAAATCTAACTTGTAGCTATTCTTGTTTTCATGTTCGCTCTTTTACAAAAGAAAACTTGTTTTTGAGATTAATGTTTGGTTTAGGTTTTGCATTAGTCAATTCGTACAAAGGAACAACGTAAGACCGAAGTTTAAAATTTATGTATCCGATCTTCATTTTGGTGAGGAATCCACATTAGTTCAGACAACAAATCACGTGGACCAATCTCCGTCAATTCGTTCTTTCTTCTCTAACCAATTATTTCAGTCTCTCAATGCTAAAAGAGAACCTACTAATTTTAGCATAAACATAAATAAAAATAGAAATAATACCATAATTAATGTGTAGAATGTTGGCTCAGTGAATGCTTCTAACATATCTATAACCTAAATTAGGACAAGTTATATTTTAGTTACCTTTTGTCTTTTCTAAGATTGGTTGGTGGGTCGGATGGAAATGCATGAGTGACTAGTTTGAGTGATGTAGCCACTGAAAATGGCATTAAAGTCGATGTCCTTATAGGACGACCACTGAAAGATGAACACGCTGAGGTAGGTTTTACCATAGCATTGAGAGACTGAGATGATTTGTTAGAGAAAAAAGAACGAATTGACGGAGATTGGTCCACTTAATTTGTTGTCTGGGCTAATGTGGATTCCTCACCAAAATGATGATCGGATACCTGAATTTTAAACTCCGGTCTTAGGTTGTTCCTTTGTACGAATTGACTAATGCAAAACCTAAACCAAACATTAATCTCGAAAACAAATTTTTTTTTGTGAAAGAGAGAACATGAAAACAAGAATAGCTACAAGTTAGATTTACCGAAGGAATGCGAGGTCTCATTGACAAAAAAAAAGTGAGTTTGTATTAACAGTAAAACCGGTCATAAAATTACTAAATAATCAATACTTATAGGATTTGTATGGGTTTCCTCCTTTATAAAGCTTTATCGCTTTACTTCGTAATATCAAGAAAAATCATGTATTATTCCATCATAAGAAATAGCAGATAAAAGCTTATAAAATCATCGTTAAACTTTATTAATAGTGTAAGATGACGAATAAGCACATCTTTAATCTTATAAAATCATCATTAAACCTTAATAATAGTTTATAAAATGTATTCAATGAGAAAACTTTATAAATAAGTTATAAAATTGATAAAGTAATATATAAAAAATTATAAATTATTTTTAATGTTTATAAATCAATTTTAAGATTCTTAAATAATAAATAAATGATAACAAAGATTTTAAAATATTTAACCGCATTTAGTAATAAAACCCCTCAACTAAAGATGAATCGTAACAAAAACCCTCAACTAAAGATTTAGTGAAATAAACTCTCAACTTTAGTTCTGTTAACATATGTCACCCTCCGTCTAAAGTTATGTGACGGATGGTGACAAACATTAACGGAACTAAAGTTGATGGTTTATTTTACGAGCTCTTTAGTTGAGGGTTTTTCTTAAGATCAATCTTTAGTTAAGGTGTTTTATTACTAAAAATTCTTTATTTTACTAAATCTTTAGTTGGTGGTTTTTTTTACGATCCATCTTTAGCTTAGGGGTTTTATTACTAACAACCCTAATAAAAATGAGATAATATATATGTGAACACTTGTTTGACTAAAAATTTAAAACAAATCACATTGTTATAAAACAATTTTTAAAAGCTTAACTTAAAAAAAAGGAATAGAAACTCCCCCCCACAAAACACAGGACAAGCCCATAATTAAGATTTAAGAATATAGCTTAAGAAGAAAAGAAAAAAAAACACAGTCCACTTTGCCTGTTCTATAATTTTAGTTTCAAGAGTAGACTAAAATTTTCCACATTTTTTACAATTTATGGGTATGTCAAATTCTCGTCTATAACATTTTTATTCAAAAGGTTGGAGTTTATTTTTATCTCCCAATCGCCAAAAAAATATATTGGAAATCTTTATTGTTTGACCAAATTAACTACAGGAGAGCCTTTATTATTCTTTTGTATGTAAATGTTGAATTTTATATTAACTAGATGCATAGTCCCCGCGCAAGCGCGGAGGTTGGATACATTGTTGATGTGTTGTGTAGTTTTGTGTATGAGACTTTGCTGTTTTTTTTTTTAACATTTGTTTATCTGGTGATGAATGAAACATTAGAAGTCACACAACTTGATTAATCTGATAAAAGAATAAACATCAAATTCATATGGGTTGATATTTTCATATTTTATCTTCGTAGTGATTTTATCGAGCATTCCCTTTATTAGTGATTTTATCGAGCATTACTGTTATTAGTGCTTTCATGTAAAAAAATAATTTAATGGAGACAAGACAAAAAAGGACATGTGTTTCTTAGTGTAATTTTCTTTATGAAATTATGTTGTATATATATATATACTTTTTTTTAATTGTGATGTATATGAGATTTATGGCCGGTCTGAATGGTTCGGGGTAAATATTTATTATTGAAAAAATATGTTTTTATTTTATTTGATTATTATAACTGAATTGAAATGATATTGGAGGTTAGAACATGATAACATTTCTTATAAAAGTATCTAAGATGGTCTCATAAAGTTTCAAATCCTTAAGCCATTTTGTATCCTAACAACCAGCATAAAAAATCATTTTGAATCTTCCTAAGCTTTTAGGTATCCCGAGAAGCTCAAATTAAAAAAAAAAAATTACATGCAAACACTGCGTTTCGAACCCACGCACTCGCAGTACCAACTTCTAGTCACCAACTTACACCACTGGGCCATTTCATTACTCATCGATAACATTCAATCTTACAAAATGTTATACGTTTTTGTTTTCCCTAATAACATATGTGGGGTCCGTAAACTTGCTGAGGTGGATAGCCTTAGGAGCTTCAAAAGTGAATCATTATAATATAGATTCTTTGTTTTTCACAAAAGATACAAAAAAAAAACTAATAGCTGATAAAGATTAGAAAATAAAAATAAACGAGAGGAGGAAAGAATAAGCAACACCGAAAACATTAGCAGACATTACAAACAATTACAACACGAGTGAACTAGCAAACTCGAAGAAAACAACTTGGCCGAGAACTTGCATTCCCAAATGAGAAAGATGCATTTGATAAACCAGGGCCTTCACTTTATGAAACAAAATCTTGTAATTCGTTTTTTGCTTAAGAGAACAAACACAATATATGCCGAGAAAATTTATAAATTAAAGGAAAATAACAAAAGGCTTAACCGAGTAATTCAAAATAAAAACCGAACATAAAAGGTCCATGACCAATTTAACCGAGAATTCGAAACTGAAAAAACAGAAACACAAAATAAGAAATAACAACCAGAGAACCAGACCCGAACAAACACGAGACCTCCAACAGCTCATTCAACGGTCTCCATAACCAGAATTCTGATCAACAATGACTGCCACAGCATCCTTAGACTCTTTCAGAAGCTTGATACTATTCTTCAGCTTCTCCCTCTTCCCCGCCACCGACGGAGACTCTTCCAACATCCTCTCAACTCCTCCACCACCTCTTGAATCCACCATCTCAGCCACAACCTCCTTCTGAAACCGAACATTCACAAGACTCTTCACCGAGAACTGAAGATAGAGAGCAAGGTTATCAACAATCCTCCTCAAAACAATCGTCCAGTACGATGTAATCCTCATCTTCATGTCAAACGCCTGCTGCAAAAAATGAGCGTGATACTTCCTCAGATGCGAGATCTTAACGTTACCAAATCCATTGAGAGAAAAGTTCTCAGGCATTTTCGCGTCGTGCAACACAGCGTTTATGAAGCTTTGCTGTGTAGCTGTCTTCTCGGTCCAAGACGTCATGTAGTCAGGGTTACATGTGTAGTCCGTCAGCTTCTCCATCTCAACGATCTCGGAAACTCTGTTCACAGATTGCTCCTTGATCTTGGTGATTAGATTACGACCAGCTCGCTTGATGGATGATTGAATCTGTGGAAAGTTGTCGGAGTATTTGGAAAGTACTGAAATGAGGACACCTTCGATGTAGTCCCAACTCTTCTTGATGAACTCTACCGGTTTGGCATGTATGTCATCGACATGTTGTGAGAGGAGAGCTAAAAAAGCTGATCTCGGCATGAAGTTTGGGAGTCCAACACATTTACATTCATCAAGAATCTTGATCTCATCCATCAAGAACTCTGTCTTGTTATTGTCTTCTGGCTTGGCTTGCAAGTTATCTGAGAAGTGGCTTAGCATATCAGCCAAACGAGCAGTGCAATGCATCTTCAGATCATCTGGGAACTCGGAGAAGTCTCCTTGTATAAGGATTCTTAAGAGAGACTCCTTGGCAGAATCAATGATGTCTCTCAGTGCCATCAATGCTTCTCCTGTAGATGCCATTACCTTTGGAAGCTTGTTTAACTCCACAACAGCGGTTTCCATCTTTATATTGATCTTGCGAACAATCTCAGGCAAACATCTACCGATCATTGTTGCTTGGATAACCATTAGCTTCTGAGCTAACACAGGGATGCCAACAATTTCATCATCAATCATGCTTAACAGTGGATGAGTCTTGAAGAGTAACTCTTCTTGCATCCTAGCTTCTTCGTAAGTCTCTTCTCCGATCCGGTTTCTGACACAGACATAACCTAGTCCGATGCTCACATCATCTGCTGTCACCTTCTGCAAGAGACCTTCAGGAGCCATGTCTGCCTTTGTGACAACAGCAAGAGTCCTTTCACCGGTTTTGTCAACTTGTCTAGACATACGGATGGACTCACAGGTGGTGAAATCAACGGTTGCTGACAGAACGTTGAGGATGATGGATTCTTGTGGCTCAATGTACTTCATGATCATCCCGGAGATCTGTTCATAGATATTTTCAGGCTGTCCGTTCACTGGAACACGAGTTATCCCGGGGAGATCGACCATGGTAAGATCTGGAACATTAGCTTTCTTGACATGGAGGGTCAGGGGAGCGTCTGAGACCCCTTTGCCAGATCCTGTGTCAAACAAGAAACGTTTTATAGTTTAATGCTATAGCAGAACATAAGAAAAACATCTAACTAAGAGTTCTAGAATCACTATACACTTGTATCAGAAACTTTTATTGTCAGTAAATACCATCAATATTTTAGATGCATGTAGGTTTTCCAAAAGACTCTTCAGTTTCATCATGTAGCAAAACTAGTGTAGGTGGCATTAAAATTTTCAGATGAACAAAAATCAAACTAGGAGTTCCAGAATCACATAACATCTATAGGCACTTATATTCAGTACTTATATGTCAACATTTTACTTTAGGACTGTCAATTGTAACTAATCAACTTAGTGTATCGTTCATATTTCAGATAAAGGTCTGATTCACATTAAATTCTCTTACAGGGTTGCAGCAAAAATTAACATAATATTGAAAGAGAGAGACATAACAATATAACATTACCAGCGATTACATCAGTTGCAGCACAAATCGATTCAGCAATGTGTTCCTCATCTGTATGAACAACTTTGTCACCGTATTCTAGCCAGATCTCAGGTTCGAGGCTAGCACTTCTCTGGAGTCTCATCACAAGAGGAACCCTAGTGCAGATTCCTTGTCCACGAGGCAAACTGATCCCTGCCAAGGACTCCAGAACACTGGACTTCCCAGATGATTGGTCTCCAACCACAACAATGGTGGGAAGCTGGATACCTTCTCTCATCACGTTCAGGTTCCTCAGCCGGTCCACAGTGTCAAGCAACGGCCTGATCCGATCATTGTAAGAAGATATAATCGGTGCTTCAATGGTTGCAAGTTTGTTGTCCGGAGGATTTGCCTCAACAATAGCCAGAGAAGAAGAGGTTGTAGAGACAACATGCTTGTTACTACCTCCCATTTTCGACTAGAGTGGAAGAGATAGCTAAAGACAGAAGAAATGTTTTTATGAAAAAGTGAGTTTCTGGTCAGAGATAGTGCAAGATATATATACAGAGTCATATCACAAGGGCTTGTGTATGAGTGATATAATCAAGAAGCAAAACGTTTGGGATGAAAGGTAACGTGCATGTTGGAACTTAAAAAAGCTAAGTCCATAATAACTACACCTATATATCTCGTAGATGAAGCTAAAAAGCCTCTCTTAAATCCTTCATTGTATTTGTATTTTCAACTGAAAATAAGAAAAATGTTTTTCGTAATAAGTAGTAACTTAACTTCTTTCTTTTGATATTAACAAGATGATGCATGCTGAGCATTGTGTTTGTTATATCAACAAAAAATAAGAGGGTGACTTTTTCGAACTAAATATAAAAAGTTACGAGAAACTAACCAGTGTAGTGCAGCCAGAGCCAGTCCAGTAGTTTTTGGGGCTCTATTCAAAAATAAAAAAATGTACATATTAATTTATAATTTTCATTTAATAGTTTTATAGTATTAAATGATATATAAATAATTTCAAAATAATAAATAACACCTAAAATAAAATATCAATCAGAACAAAGTTTTTAATGTCTTGAAAGAAGTGATAATATTATTAAGATTAAAATATTATTTTTACTTTAACCTCACCCTTTATTTTATTTATGTCTAAACTCTCATAATATGAAATCCCCCTAATACTTGTTTATTATATATATATATATCTATAAACCAATTTTCCAAACTTTTTATTATTTTATAAATCCAATTATATCTAATTATGTATATACATGAATATAGTGGGAGCCCCATGCAAATGTTTCACTCCATTATGCACATGTCTGGCCCTGAGTGCAGCAACGAATTTATAGGAGGTGTATTATGTGAAAATAGTTTATGATGAGTTAAACTAGGAGGAATTATGAATCTATATTATAATGATTCACTTTTGAAGTTCTTAAGGCTATCCACATCAGCAGTTGAGTGGACCCCGCTTATTTAAATTTTAAAAGCTTATAGTTTTTTTAAAATGACTATGAACAATGAATACACTTTAGCAAAGTGGTATACGGCACTTAATTAAGTTTGCAAGTGTGTGGGTTCAAACCACGCAGCTGTTATGTATTTTAGTTTTTTCGTTTGGATTATTATCATATGGGCTTTTTAGTTTTAATATTTTTATGTTTTTTTCCTCTGGACTTATTGTTTAAAGCCCAAAATAGTGGAAAAATCCTAAAGTTTGACGAACTCAAACCCAAAAACAATTAAAAATGGATCAAAAAACGAATATCCAAAAAAAAAGAAAAAAAAACGAGTCTCACGCGGCACTATCATGTCCTAATATATATTTTTACTGTTAGAACATATTTCCTAATATATATTTTCAAAAAATTATGTATGTGAAATAAAATAAAATAAATAGTTTTGTTATTTATAAAATAACTATGTAATTTCTCTTCAATTTTTAATAGTTACTATAATTTCATTTTTATCAGACTCCGGCGGATGGATTTCCACAATCGATGACGCCGTAAAGAAAAATACCACATTACTCATGAACAAAATCCAAACTTACAAAAAAACATATCCAAACCTATCTATTGAAACCCAAACAACAAATATTAGCTTAAATTAAAGTTATTTTCAAATTGATAAATCGTTTAGTACAAATATAAATATTATAAATAAATATTTATATCAAGTTTTGACATCCGATATAAAAACTATTTCCAACATAAAAAAGACAATATAGACATCTATTTTTATACACTAAAAACTATATTATAATTTAGTTATTTCTATAAACCTTATTTCGCATATAGATAACATTTAACACATTATATATACAATATTTTCACTTTACACTCTTACTACATTCTTTCTATTTCATCATTATTTGGTATTATTAGAATAACCCACTAAACCAACAACCGAAAAAAACACAGATCCCGACCCTGCGCTTGCGCGGGGGTTATGCAGCTAGTTTTAAGTATAGTTGTAAATTCGACTATAAGTTCTAAATTTTGGCACATGGACATAAATCTAGTTTACAACATTTCGTTCTTAGATATAAATATAAATTTAGTATATGTTTTCCAAAAGATGTATTCTCATTAGCCCTGGGCATTCGGGTAGTCGGGTCGGGTCCTTTCGGATTCGGGTCTTTCGGGTCTAGGAGTTTAGGATTTGATAGGATAATTTGAAATTTTTGGTTCCGGATCGGTTTGAGTCCTACCAGGTCCGAGTCGGGTCTTAGATAGTTGGACTTATTCGGGTAATTATAATTTATCGGTTCGGATTTGGTTCGGATTTGGTTCGGTTCCAGATCGGGTTCGATCTAAAAATACCTAAAATACAAAAAAATATCTGAAAATATTTATATATTCAAAAACATTCAAAATTTTATTCAAAATTTGTGTTTTTATTATATTAAAATGTGTATGTATATTAGACTATGCGAGATACAATAACAAATCGTTGTCTCCTAGTGGTTAACCCCTTTACTCCCTATAGAAATAACCCGTCTTCGACTCCCCTTCAATGCATTTTATTTAATTTACATTATTAATTCGGGTATCCGTCGGGTTTCGGTCCGGGTCGGGTCCAAGACCCTCGGGTCTTCTACAACAAGACCTAATAGGATAATTTGATCGAGCCGGTTCCTACCCATACCAGGTTTTTCCGGGTTGGATCTTCGAGTCCGGGTAAAATGCCCATACCTAATTCTCATAGTATGTGTTGGTCAAAAACCAATGACTGAAAAACAACAATTTATATGCTCAATTTTAAATATATAAAAACTAGTATTACTAGGTGTTTTTCCATAACGTGCAAGCTTAATCATTTTACTAATATATATAAATAAATATATAATCAATTTAAATATAATTAAAATAAATTAATATACATACACTCTAAATATTTAATAAAAAACCAAACAAATTATTTCTATAAATTATTTCTATATATGAAACTTTTCATCATAATATAGGTTATTTTAGTTACATAAATTAAATTTAAAAACACTAATATCGGTTTTTTCTGGACATGATAAATTTTTTTAATATAATAAAATTATCTTTTATTACGTAAAATTAATTTAAAACACTTTTCTATACATAAATTATGTAGAATATATATATATATATATTGATTTAAAAATAAATAAATAAGATGTACAATAATATCTTGGATAACACAATACAAATTATTTTTATATATAATTATCAAATCAATGAAGTTTGTTTATTTTTTTAATTTCTAATTATTTATATATTAACAAATATAATTATTTTTCTAGATTGATAACAACTTTGTAACATAACATAAAAATAGAAAAGGATAATAATCAAATTAATGAATTTTTTTTTATAATTAATTATATATTCACAAACATAATTATTTTTCAAAGTTAATGAAGACGTTATAACACAATAGAAAATATTTTTAAATAAGGTTAATTATTAAATCACTGAAATTCATTTTTGTTTGTGATTAATTATATAATGAATTTAAATTATTCATTAAGGACATAAACGATATTAGCCAGTCTAACTTTTAATGTTAGAGCTCTGTTCGAAAAATCAAAGTATATATATGAATTTACACATATTAATGAAAACTTACTTGGTGTTTTTAAAAATATAATCTAATATAAACATAATTTAAAAACCAACGTTTTGGATTTATGATTTAAATATTGTTGGGGTCAAAATCGGTACGACGGAATCAATAGCCGAAATTCCCCGCAACAATACAAAAGGAATAGTTTTATAAAACCCGAGAAGTCGTTTTATAAAACTCGAAGTCATTTATAAAACTCGCAGATCGTTTTATAAAACTCGAAGATCGTTTTATAAAACTCGAGAAGCCGTTTTATAAAACTCGAAGATCGTTTTATAAAACTCGAAGATCGTTTTATAAAACCCGAGAAGCCGTTTTATCAAACTCAAAGATCGTTTTATAAAACTCGAGAAGCCGTTTTATAAAACTCAAAGATTGTTTTATAAAACTCGAGAAGCCGTTTTATAAAACTCGAAGATCGTTTTATAGAACTCGAAGATCGTTTTATAAAACACGAGAAGCCGTTTTATAAAACTCAAAGATCGTTTTATAAAACCCGAGAAGCCGTTTTATAAAACTCGAAGATCGTTTTATAAAACTCGAAGATCGTTTTATAAAACACGAGAAGCCTGGCTTAGTTCGCCAGCAGGCGAACTAGGACCTCCTCGGCTAGTTCGCCAGCAGGTGAACTAGAGATCTCCCGGATCTCCCGCGGCCCCGATTCGAACCTAACATCCTTCGACACGGTCATATTCTGAACCACGGCCAAAATGTCTCTCGTTTCGTCTCGATCCGACTTATCGTTTGAATTCTACAATAAAAACCGTAAAACTCTGTTTTCCCGAAAAGAACTCGAAGAAATCGTATAAAACGGTAACAGTTAAGCAAAACATCGAACATCGCCTATACTATACGATTTATCCGAGATTCTTCGTTAATATTATAAAAAACGCATTTTTAATAAAAAAACGTCGAGAGAATCGTAAAAAACGGCATCTGATCAGGAAACGGTCTCGTTAAAGTCGTAAAACGGTTTTTATCGTAAAATGGCCCGAAAGGCTCTAAAACACGATAAAAACCCATCTTGCGACGTTAACGAAATCAAACCTAAAGATACGATAACGTTTTGACGGTTTACTCGCAAACGGAAGATAAAAGGCAAGTTTGAAGATAAATAGAAGATTTCCGCGGAAGAAAATGAAGGATCGACAGATATGAAAAGTTCCCGATATATTCGGTTTCGGGCGAAATGGAAAGATCAAAACCGCCTAAGGAGGAGTAAATAAGGAGGAGGCATATGGCAGAAGCTGACACACGATTTTCAGAGCTCTCACCGCCAAAATTAGCATTTAGGAATATTTCCGTTTTCTGTTAGTGAGCTACGTCTCAATTAGGTTTTTTTCGTTCTTAAGTTTT